TCCTTGCTCTGATATCTAATGCTCTTTAATCGTTCATTTTCAGGTTAATAGAGGAGTTCCTAGAAGGACAAGGATGGCAAAGGCCAAGGACAAAAAGATTAACTCAAAAAAGTAGATCGATTTCACTGATCTCCCAAGAAACAAGACAGAAGTTTTAACTCTTCGTGTTACTATTCAAATATGTCTGTAACAAGGTGGCTCGAGATGAAAGCCAAGAAATTAGACAGAAGTTTAACTCTTCGTGTTACCATTCAAATGTCTGTAACAAGATGGCTCGAGATGGAGGCTTCCGAATCATGAAATACACACCCCATGTTCAACACTGATTCTGGTCAAGAAGTTTGGCTGGTTTCCAGGGAATGCATTTGTAGTTTTCTTTCTTAGGTTGAAGAAATTGAATGTGTTGTTCTCTGTACATTATGCTCAATTATATGTTCTCAACAGATTACACACAGTGTTCTTTTGTATTTATTTTCCTTTTAATACATAAGATACATCTTTCATTTTGTGACAATTTTTGTCCAATCTTCTTTTAAGCAAAGAACCTTTGGGTTAGAACTTCAGTAACATGAGCAGAAAAATAAAGAGAACAAAAATCAACATGTTGTCAACCAAATCTTGCTAGCTCCATAGATGTTACCAAAAGAAGGAAAAGAATTGTACAACATTTTTCCCTTACAAACAAGAAAAGATCTATTCTTTAGGTTTCTCGGATGAAATGTCTGATGCTTGCTGCTTAGCTTGTGACATCAGTTCTTCTACATATTTCTTTTCTTCCTTTAAACCCCTTTTCTCGAGTTCTTTGATGAGATTATCATACATGGTGTCTGTAGGGAGGAACCCTCGTAGCACTGCTAGCTCAAAAACAGCACAAGCACGCTCAGGATTCCTGTTCCTACAAAGACCGCGAACCAGAAGAGCATATGTTCCAAGATCCATGCTCACGTCATTTTTGAACATGTGGTTCAATAAGAAGGATAGAACCTTCAGTCTTCTCATTCTGCAGCACATTTTAAATAATGGTGCGTAAGTACAAATATCAGGCTTGCATTGACTCTCCTCCATTTTCTGGAGAAATTTTAAAGCATCCTCTTCTTTAGAGTTGTGTGCAGCAATTGTAATCATTGTGTTATATGTGAACGTATCAGGTGAGACTCCTCGATTTGGCATATCTTCAAATATATCGTAACAATCCTTCAGTCTCCCACTTGTTCCTAATATATGGATCAAGCTGCTATAAAACGAATTATCAGGAACACAACCATTTTGTTTCATCTTCTCATATACATCCAAGGCTTTGTTCAATTCCTTTGCCTGCCCTAAAGCTTTCATAGTTATAGTATATGTCACCACACTTGGTGAGTGCCCCTTCATTTGCATCTCTTTGAAAATAGCATCAACGTTAGGGAACTTTTTTTCACGACAATAGGCTTCAATGAAGCAAGTATAAGTAACCACATCAGGCCTTAAACCATGTTCTTCCATATCTTTAACTGTTTCATTTGCTTTATCAATTTTTCTAGCTCCTCTGCACCAACCATGCACTAAGATATTATATGTTTGAACTGATGGAGCTATATGATTCTTCAAATCAAGGTAGACCTTATGAGCATGCTCGACACTTCCTCCCTTCACCAATGCATCGATTAACAGATTCATCGCACTTGTATCCTTCTGTAAACCGAATTCTTCCATTCTTTCAAATACCCCTATGGCATCCTCATATTTACCAGACTTGGCAAACCTTCTCATGATTTTACTCATAGTATTCAATGAAACATATCCTTGTAAGTGACTCATTTCGTCCAACAATTCCATCATAAGACCAAACTTCTTTGATTTTCCTAAGTTGTCAACCATTAGATTATACAAGTCAGAGGAAAGTGTGACATCCTTTTGCACTCTTGCCCATTTAAAAAACCCGTAAGAAGGTATCCACTCGAAACTGAACCTTTTCAAAATTTGCTCAACCAAACACTCTGAAACAACAAATCTGCTTTTATTCAATGCATCCACAACAGCATTGGGTGATTTGAAATTAAACCTCAGTACTTTGCTGATCTTATCAACATCGTTTTCCGTCAAATCACTTGCCAAACTTCTCACATCAATTTCTCTTGCACGAAGCTTTTCATTTTTAACCCATTCTGAGAATGAGGGAAGTAAGAAGTCATCATCTTCCAGTTTAACTGCTGCTTCCTCCTCCTTAACAATTTTAACCCAATCTGGAAGTTCTGGTGACTCGGTCACCTTTGGCTGCTGATTAATGTTAATTGTCTCAGTCATAGTACACAATCTATTGCACAACAAATCATCAGAAACATAGTGAACAGAACTCCTCCAGACATACAGACGCCTTTGAGCTCCCAAACACCAGAAATGCGGGAAACGCTTCAAGCTGGATATCATTTCAACTAACCTGGAATGACAAAGTCAGAAAGAACCAGCACTGAAGCATCTTTAAGATAGACAATGACAGGCTGTTCGGTTTCTGGCATAGAAAAGATAACAATGCATAAAACTCTACCTATTTAATACAATGCTTGATATCACTAATATAGCAATTGGTTACCATTTTTGTCCTACAAAAACAATACATTGTATAACTTTAATGAAAATCATCTTGTTTTTGTCAGATTGAATGTGAAATAACAATACATGAATTAGCAATACAAAAGAACTCTGAAATGCTAAAAATACCCTTAAACAAAGACATCTCGTTTTCGTAAATAAAAATACAGATCTTAGTATCTTACAACAACCAATAGACCTCAATCCCAAAAAAGATGCGGTTACTATATGAGTCCTCATTGAGTGTGTTGCTCCATTAAATCTCTTCATAGACGCATATTATACAAAAAACCAAAACACTTAGTATTAAAAGTTTTTGTATTTCTATTAGCATATAATCTCATATAGGATTAAATGAACAACTAAAGTAAACGGATGACTAGAATTTCGTCCCAAGACTCCCAACTACTAATAGGTATCACTTTTATAAATTGTTTTCTTCCACACTCCACAGTGCCCTATTGTAAGTCTTTCAATACAACTTCTTTTCATATGATTTTGATTCTACGGCGTCCCCTCTTCTTTTGTGAAATGGTAAGTATCAACCTCATCTCCTTTTAACACTCATTATTGTTCTTTTCCTTATAGGCTAGTGCATCTAGAGTCTATGCAATACATGACCAAGCCTTACATTCTCTCATTCTATCCTCATTGTATGTTGCTGTGTTCATTTCAAATCTTGTATGACCCTATATCCATCTTATCTTAGCTTAGCTTAGTCACACAGCAACAACTCATCTTTGTGAATATGTCTAAACTTTAACAGCCCAACACTCAACCCTCACTTCCAAGGGCGGCTCAACCCTAAAACCATCAAAATTACAAATCCTCCAAAGAACCCCAAATTCAGTTTGCTCAAATACGAAAACACACACACATATATATAGACACGCACAAAAAACAAATAAATTCGAGTAAGCGGCAAAGATTAAACGAAGAACCATAAGCACTGAACAGACAAAGGATGAAGAAGGTACATACCTAAAAAGAGAAGCACCGCATTAACACTTGAAGAAAAGCAGAATATAAAAAAATCATGTATTTATTGTTAGTACTCTCACTCTCTTCTATTTATATGCTGTTCTTATTAAAAACAAATAACAAAATCAATATATAAATAATCCTTTTCTTCCTATTTTATCTCTCCCTCGAGAGTTATTAACGTTGAAAGTGATAATTTGATCAGTATAGTAAAACTAAATGATTAATTCATGTTCATTGGTTAATTTGAGTAACCAAAATAAATTAATTTATGTTCCTTTATTGAAAACTTGACTTCAAAGGAACATTAAATAAGTGTATAATGATAAACTTACTTAATTTCTCAAGGAATGTGAAATTTGAAAGGGAAAAATGATAAATATACCCCCGAACTATCGTAAATGTTATGCAGATACTCTCCGTCATACTTTTGGGACATTGGTGCCCCTGCCGTCCAAAAACTAGAGCGTATATGCCCTTCACTCTAACATAAGACTAAATAGGGACACGTGGCGCAATCTTATCCGTCGATTCAATATTAATAATTGTCGGTCGGTGGATAAGATTATGACACGTGTATGTCCGTTAGTATAAAGGGTAAATATGCTCTAGTTTTTGGACGGCAGGGGCACCAATGTCCCAAAAGTATGACAGAGGGTATCTGCATACCATTTACGATAGTTCGGGGATATATTAATATTTTTTCTCATTTGAAAATAATGACATATATATAGAAATAGAGGGAGTATTAACTAAAGTTTTCTTAATGGTTTGTTGGTAATCTCTTGCTAATCATGATACACATATTTTTTTTATATTTTATTATTGATGTAATTATAATTAAAATCGTAGACCATTAAATTTACAGTTATTTTCTATTTCTTAATTTGTCTAATTCACATCAATTTGAATCAATCATGTTTTAATTCGATTCAATTTTATTCACCCCTAAATAGATGTTATTATGATTGAATTGAAATGTTTCTTGAAAAATGAAGTTATAACTCTCTATTATAAGAATATATACAAATTGAAGTCGAATAAATTATGATTACCAATTTTATCGTATTATAATCTACAAACTTATTGAAGCTTGACTTAAATATACCAAATTAATTAATTTGATAATAAGGATATATAATATTTTCAAATATCAAAATTATACCAGCTTAATTTTTTTAATACCGTACCATGTCCATCTCTAAGTAATCACACTCCCATTTTTAGTGTAAACAGTCATATTTTAAAATAATTTTAGGTTCTCCCCAAATTTTCTTCTTTACCTCTTTCCTCTCCAAGCTACTCAAATTTTGAAAATTGACTATTGAAATTGATTTTAATTTTATAGGATAATGAAATTATTTAAGTATTATTATTTCTCTCAAAAATAAAAAAATATTTAAACCCCTTTTCTCATTGGTATATCATGTGATTAAAGCTCATTTTAAAAAAAATTATAAACCTATTTAATTCATATACATCAAAATTCGAATACATTTAACCGAATCCATATCTTGTACCTAAAATGACACGTTAAAAAGACTCGACGATATGGTAAAATTGATAAAAAGAGTATCTCGACATTCATATCAAGGTAATCTGTCTGCTACTTGATTAGCTTCTCTAAAGCATTGTTGAATGTTGATTTGATGTTGATTGAGCATATCTTTGATCCTGCTTACTTCATTAAGCATCCGCCATGGAGTTTGATTAGTCCCTTTGATACAATCAACTAACATTTTGGAGGTCACTCTCAGCTATCAATCTTGTATGTTCTCTTTCTGTGCACCATGTGAGTCCATAAAGAAGAGCAACAGCTTCTGCTCAGTTGTCGGTGTCTTGGCGTAGGACAAGTGAATAAGCCATTACTAGATGTTCCTCGGAATCTCTAACAATGCCTCCACCTCCACATTTGCCAAATCTGCAGCTACCGTCAAGAGTTAAGCTTAAGAAAATGGTTAGAAGTTTTGTACTGAATAACACTAGATAACAGAGTGGTGATAGCATTCCAGGAGGAGTTCAGGTTCAACCGACTGAACTGGTTAGTAATCAGTTGAGACAATGTGTTAGCAATTAGAGATAGTGATCTCTCAACATTCGGTTTTTCAGTACCGTATTTTGTACCACACCTTGATCTTCAAATTTCACAAGTAGCAATGATAGAGAGGCTGTCAAGTAATGAAACTAGTGACAGGATTAGCAGTTTTGTGTTTCCACCAATTTATCATAATCTGTCTATAAGTATTACTTATTAGAATAAGCAATCCCAAAAACATTGGTTTGGTGGATCTGACAGATGGTAAGTAAAGTCTATGAGCGGACATTTTGCATAATTATCCTTATAATTTTCCGGGTGTTAAGAACGGACCAGATGAAAAGAAATCACCTTTGGTACATTTAAGGCCAACATCAAACTGAACAAATTCACCAATGAATCACCTGACTTTGCCTCTTAAAAGCATTGGTGACTCTACCTTCAACGGTGTGGAGCACACATGAGTAATAATAATATATGTTCGTTTTACAAGTTTTTCTTTTCTAGAAAGAGGTTTTCAGGCTAACGTTGGTGTTTCCAGGATTCAAGGTTCAGTTTAGTAATGCAAGTCTAACCTTCTATCTCTTCGTGCAGGACTTCAAACCATTTCTCCATAGCTACATTATATTCATTGCCGCAAAACATGGTCAGCTTGAAGAACCATCTGACAAACAATGATCTCAGATTAACTTCAAGTTGTTTTCCAGCATTTCAAATGCCAGATTTTCGTCCATTGCTTGCTTCTGCATTTTTGGCAAGAGAATGAAAATCAAATCAATTGTTTCAGCAATGACGCGGAAATTCACAAAGTAAAACAGAAAGGGTTATCAGTTCTACAATGAATTGGCACTGCAGTGTTTTGTATATATTTCTGTGGCACATGCAAGTTGATGTACCATTCAGGCATTCGCTAAAATGCTATTATTTATTTGTACTTATAGAGCACTATGATATAATTGAAGTACAGTCTACAATATGCATTTTTCATCAGAACAGTTACGAAACTTGATGTTCCAACTTCAAATAAAACTAAATGGCTCGACCCAACGGAAGGTGATAGTACTTTTATAACTTAATGTTGAATCTTGTCATTTGTTAATTCTATATTCATCTTAAAACAAAAGTGAATTGTCTCAAGATCTATTAAAGGCAGTATTGCTATAAATACTTCACGGAGCACATCAACAAAAAAATATTTGGAACAGAATGAGTCTGCACCAAGGGATTTATCTTGCGAAATGAAACATATGCTGCAGGGAAAGAACCCTGGGCATTCCAACTGAGATCACAAGCCTACAAAACGAATGAGAAAATAGACTTTAACACTTGAACAACTTAATTCATCAGTTAAGGAGTCTGTGTCCTCTACCTTGAAGACTGATATAGATTCTATAAGTGTTCCCTTACTCTCCAAAACCTGCAAGGCTGCAACCTGTAAAAAGAAAAAAATCATCAGCAGTCAAAAATATCAAGAAAAACATCCGAGCTTCAGACAAGGGGGAGTGAAAAGACAACTATGGCATTGCAAGAATCACAAGCCGAAGTATTTGCTAACTTTTCTCTGACATGGTTAAAAGAAACTGCTGATATGCATAAAACGAGTCATTTAATGCCAGAGTCATTTACCTCAACCGTGGCAGAAAAAAACAGAATGTTTGATCAAAATGGCATATATTCGCATGAGCGATGACAAATACTTTGCAACAGGAAACATGAGCGAAGTTCTTATGGAAACAGTCAAAGGACTGGAATAGTCTCACCTTTCTTTACTACAAAAGAAGTCCTTCACAAAGTTCTTCTTCGGAAGACGAATCCTCTGTAGTCAAATGACCAGTGTCTTTCATTAGCCTATTCAGTCCTCCCAGTAGACAATAAATTTCATTTGTTTGGCCACTGGAGGTATCTGAAACCAAAAATGGAGAAAAGCCAGAACCAGTATCAACCCAAGCACATCCTGGAGACTTTCTTACACCAAAATCTCGCATGACGGTCCTCACTTCTGCCAGTTTGTTCCAACACCCAGCATCTGCATACATATTAGCAATCAACACATAGTATCCAGGCTTATCAGGCCTCAGCTCCAGCAGTTTCTCGGCTGCCCACTCTCCTATCTCAGTATTCCTATGAATCCTACATGCTCCAAGGAGAGTTGCCCACATTTCAGGTGTCGGCTCAAAAGGCATCTTTATAATGATTTCCTTTGCCTTTTTCAGTAAACCAGCCCTACCAAAGAGGTCAACCATGCAAGAGAAGTGCTGCAAATGAGGATTTATACCATAAGTACTTTGCATCTGTTCAAATAGTTTCTGGCCCTGCATCACAAGGCCTGAATGACTACAGGCTGACAAAGCAGCAACCATGGTCACATGGTCTGGTTTTATATGGAGCCTTATCATCTCATTAAATAGTTCAATTGCTTCTCTTCCTTCACCTTGAATACCATATCCTGCTATCAGCGAAGTGTAAGTAACTGCATCTTTCTTGCTCATCAAATTAAATAACTTTCTGGCTGCTAATACCTTTCCAGATCTTGCATACATATCCACAAGCGAATTCCACAAGAGCAAATATTCCTCAAACCCTTCACGTCTTGTAAGATAGCAGTGAAATTCTTTACCATGTTGTAAATTTGCCACCCTAGCACACAGGGGGAGAATGCCTGCTATAGTGATATAATTCGGCTCAACACCAGAAAGCAGCATTTCTCGGAAAAGAAAGGAAGTTTCCTCAGACCTGTCCCAATGTGCAAAGCCAGATATGATTGTATTCCAGGTAATTACAGTTTTAGAGTCAACAAACTGAAACAAAATATGCGCCTGCTTGAGTGCCTTGCATCTGGCATACATATTGATTAAAGCATTTCTTACATTATCAAAATCATCAAGGTGACTTCGGATCACTAAACCATGAATTTGTTTTCCAATTTCTAACAAACCAGTGTGGGAACATGCACCCAAGCCAATAAGTGTTGCCACAGGTTCTAGCTGAATTCCACAAGTTCTCATTTGAGATAACAATTTAAGAGCCCCAATAAAGTTACCTGTCTTCAAGCAACCTCCAGCTATGGTGTTCCAAGTAATAATATCGAATTCAGCATCAGTAGCCCTCATTCTATCAAAAATCTCAAAAGCTTTACCCCACATACCTTTGGAAGCATAACCAGAGATCATTGAATTCCAAGAAACTGCATCCTTAACTGGCATCCTTTCAAATATATCATGTGCAACATCCACTTCCCCACACTTTGCATACATAGAAACTAAAGCATTCTGGACAAACAAGTTACCCTCTAAGAAACTAGCATCTATAGACTTGTGAATATCACGGCCAAAAGCAAGATTTATTTGCTCACCACAGGCCTTAAGAACAGACGGATAAGTGAAATCATCGGGTCTTATACCTCTATTCACCATCTGCCTATAGGCAGAGAATGCCTCCTCGTTTTGCCGCTTTTTAACATAAGAAGAAATAAGGAGATTCCAAGGGAGAGGGTGCAAGATATTTGAAGTTTCAGCAATTACATGAGCATCATCAAGTAAACCAAAGGTCGTATAAAAGGTGATTATCCTCGGCACCAAATTCCAACTATGTGCAATGCCCAAATTAATAATGCATGCATGAATTTGTTTCCCTTCAGAGAGTGATTTGCTATTAGTACAACTTAATAAAAGAGATGATAATGACTGTATAACAAGATCACAAGGGGTTTGAGAGGAGACATGAGTCCGAATTAGAGAAAAGGTTCTAAAGGCTTTGCATATGTGGCCTTGGCCCGCAAAGTCCTTCAAAGTTGTCAGTAGGCAATCCACCATTGATTCATTACTTTCTTTACAAGGCCCTGAAATACATTCATGTGAGCTACACAGCAAGGTTTGGCCACAGTTTTTTCGGTTGTCTGATTCTCTGACACTTGTCCACTTTTTAGGTATGAACTTCTGAATTTGGGACAGAAGAAGGTTACTGGGTTGCGCACTAAAGCGAGAGGGCATAAACTATAAATGGTGAAACTATAATGAGTAAGAACAAGATTGTGGCGCATATACAATACCAACAACAGTTTGTAACAGCTTAAAAAGATTGATATTTAGCCAATCTACCCCTGCAAAAAGAATTATAATGTGTAAGAGACACAATAATGGCAAAAAATCCATAAAACTCTACTCATTTGATTAAAATAAGATGCAACCAAAAAGGAAAATAATTACTTAAGCTGCTAACACATAACCTGAAAATCATACTGTCCTAATTTTTATGACTCTTGTATGTTGAAACATTTTAAAATACTACTATGTAATATCATTATATTGCTATACAAGATTTCTGATTAATTGAACTATTCAAGTTTTAAACTTTTCGGAAAATCTTAGCAACTTAGTTTGTTGGTTGCCTAAACTTTCACCTTACGGTTTCAATTCCCCACCTACCCCCAATTTTCCTAAAAAGTTTTAAACTTTGATGTAACGGATTACTCTATGTCTATACTCTATGGCTCTAAGCATAAATGAGTAGACTTGGGGAGGAAACTAATATAAAAGTTCTCTTTGGAATTTACTCAAACACCTTGTGTGCTAGCTAAAGTAAGAAAGTTTTCCTTGTTGAAATCAATCCATCTTCTTAAAATAAAACAACATACCCAATGAAATGAAATTGATTCTGGAGAGGGTATAATGTACATAGATTTTACCGAAAAATTGAAACATAACCATAAAATTAGACAAAGGGAGTAAATACATACGGCATGTCATGTGTTTTAAAATTATATGCAATTTTAATTTATTTGTCTTTTTTTTAATAGTTTAAAATCTCTTTTTTTTTTTTTTTAGTACATCGAAGATGGCAACTTATTATATTTCTAATTTCAATTTTTTTTATTCAATTTGAAAATGGTTACACAACAGCATATCCAATGAAACCCCATTTCCTCTTAATAATAATAATCTAGTAGCAATACCTGAAAAAACTTTTGATTCTTACACACTTTATTTTGTTTTTTTTTAATAATTTAAAATCTTTTTTTTTTTTTTTTTAGTACATCGAAGATGGCAACTTATTATATTTCTAATTTCAATTTTTTTTATTCAATTTGAAAATGGTTACACAACAGCATATCCAATGAAACCCCATTTCCTCTTAATAATAATAATCTAGTAGCAATACCTGAAAAAACTTTTGATTCTTACACACTTGAAGATGTGTCTAGTATGGGCATTAGAATAAAGCAATTTAGATTAGAAATTGAGATTTTATACATTAATAATGAACTAGAGGGATTGAGACCCAACTATCCTTTTCAATTCACTAATGACATAGTCAATATCTTGGCGCTCAGCAGATGCCATACGCACACATAATGCTAGGAGTTTTGTAATTTCAGCGGCAGTATCAGCATCCACCCCCAATGATTTATGAACGGTGCCTTCTTTCTTCTCTCTAAGATATGAACCCAAATGAGAATGATCAACTCCACAAGTACAACTCCAAATTCAAAAACACATGCTTTTGCAATCTCAGTGTCATCTGCAAAATACCAATAGAATAAAATAAATAGGTAGATATATATTTGCACAAACATGAAACATATATAGTGTGTAAACATAGATGATAGAGAAGCCTATGAAGAAGCTAAGAGAGTCATTAACTAACAAGTTATCCTAGACTAATTATCTCGGGATTAGTTATATATCTCACCCACAATGTGGAATATAATAGTAACACTACAATCTCGTGATAACCAAACATGGCATAAACCAATCCTAAAATTAATTATCCCTTATCCTTCCTACCAAACGAGCCTTGAGAAATATAAAAGAGTTTCTAATAACTACGGGTTTACATCCAAGTATCATCTACTTGTTAATCATGGAGTAATAAAGAAAACACCAATACCTGAGACAATGGCACCATCACCTTTCCTACAATCGATTCTAAAGTTCACCAGTTTAATGTTATATTCCTGCATACAAAAGTAATCAGACAACTCGCAGAGAACGAAATTGTGGATGCATTTGATACCTCATCAATCATAATATCAGGCGAAGACCAGAGAAAGTCCATCTTTTCCACAGTTAATGTTTTCAGGAGCATTGCATAATCAGTCGCCACCTTCATTCGTTCCTTCCACCCGAATTCAGCTAACAGCAGAGTAACTGTTAGCCAGAGCAAAAACAACTACTGTTTTTTTTTTGAGTCCGGAGCCTAAAAGGCAAAAAAAATGGTCAAAAATTTCAAAAGGGCACATCACTTTTTATTTTAGCCAAAAGGGCAAAATCGCTGCGTTAGCAGCGATTTTCCTCTGACAAAATCGCTGCCCTAGCAGCAATTTCGTCTAAAAAATTTTTTTATTCTTTTTTATTAAAAATCGCTGCCACAGCAGCCATTTTGTAAAAAAAATTTTAAAAAAATTATTTTTTATTAAAAATCGCTGCTGTGGCAAGCGATTTTGTAAAAAAAAATTTTTTTTTTAAAAAAACCCCGCGGGGGGGGCGGGGATTTTGTAAAAAAAAAATTTTTTTTTTTAAAATTAAAAATCGCTGCTTTTTTTCTTTTAAAAAACTAAAACAGCACATCAAAAAAAATTAACCAAAAGGGCTTCTGACAAAACAAAGAATATACATCTCATGTACACAAAACAATGCTTCACTACTGTGGATATACATCTCATGTACATAAAAGAATATTAAATTCAGAAAAAAACTTTTTAAAAAAAATTCTTAACCAAATTCGCTGCTATAGCAGCGATTTTAAAGAAAAAAAAGTTTTTTTTTTCTTTCAGAGTCCGGAGCCTAAAGGGCAAAAAAAATGGTCAAAAATTCCAAAAGGGCACATCACTTTTTATTTTAGCCAAAAGGGCAAAATCGCTGCCCTAGCAGCGATTTCGTCTATAAAATTATTTTTATTTTTTTTATACAAAATCGCTGCCACAGCAGCGATTTTTAATAAAATTTTTTTTTAGACGAAATCGCTGCTAGGGCAGCGATTTTGCCCTTTTGGCTAAAATAAAAAGTGATGTGCCCTTTTGGAATTTTTGACCATTTTTTTTGCCCTTTAGGCTCCGGACTCTTTTTTTTTTCTTCAAAAAAATAATAATGGTCATAACATCATTAGCAACTCATTTTACTAACCAATTAAAGTTGATCCAATTTACATTGACAAAAACACTAACCAATGTTGAGAATAGTCATTTCAAAGAAAATTTTCAGTATAAAATTCAAAAAGTAAAAGAAGGTTCATAATTATTTTCATAAGATTTGTACAATTTTTTAAAAAAAAACCCTTTGATTCTCTATGATATCCGTACATATATGATATACTACAAAGATATTACTGTAGACATACAACTCTCATTCAAAAGGGTCTGAGTCCTCATGATACCAATGCAAGATACACCATACATTAAGATGATTTTATGAAATCTTTTAATAAAACCAATGTTCAAATCTCCATTATACAAACTTGATATACCCCAAAAATTTTCATTTTATGTTAAAGATCATTCTTTATTTTGAATTTTAAAATTTAATCAAAAACTTTATTCTACTGAATAAGTAATTGGTAAAATACTAAAATATACAAATTTCATTGAAATATTAAAGTTATCGAATTTGGCTCCTCTCCATTTTCCCAAGTTTTCATTTTTTTTTAATTTTGTTTTAGTTAGTCTTTTTTTTTTTAGATGTTCTCTTTAAATGGGTTTAGCACTTTTGGAATGCACATTCATGTAAATACTTGGTTGATTTATAAAGCTCACCTTTTGGGTCTGTTTGGCCAAAAAAATAGGGGAAAATTATACATAATAGCAAACATTTAAATCAAAATAAATTATATAGCTACTGTTTCATTTATTTGTATTTCGTAGCAAATGTTACACAATTTTTGCCATTTGGTTGGGACCCATGCATTTTAAAAAAACGAAAGAGTTATTTTTATACAAATTCATTCCCTATCTTTTCTATCCCATTTTCTTTCAATTTCCCCTAAAATCTCTCCCCAAATCAGTTTTAATTGGTTGGGGCCCACTCATTTAAAAAAAACTGAAGATCTATTTTTATACAAATCCGTTAGCTATCTTTACTCTCCCAATTTCGTTCAATTTCTCCTAAAATCTCTCCCCAAATCAGAATTTTAAATTTTTTTTATATATAGTTTCCACTAATACAAATTTTAATTATATACAATTTTTTAAAATTATAATATATAGTTCCACTAATACATATTTCTAATTTTATATATATACAGAGAGATTTCACTTATACATATGTATGTATATACAGTTGATAAGCCTCCTAATACAAAGGGCATATACATATACTATTTATAGGCTATAGCTAATATAAAATTTTATTTATATACAGATTCCACATATATATACGTATGCATATACAATTGACAAGCATAACACAAAGAACATATACATATACAAATAACAACTAATAAAAATTTGTATTTATATACAAATTCCACACATATATATATACACAATTGACAAGCCAAACAGAGAACATATACATAAACCATTTACAACTAATACAAAATTTAATTTATATTTTGTTTTTAAAAAATTGTATACAAAGCTTAATTTGTATGAGTATATATTCTTTTTTTGTTATATAAAAGAAAACTCCTTATATACCCATTGATGAAGAAGACTTAGAAGGAAAGGAATCCTATTATAATATAATGTGCGTAGTTTAGCGATTTTCTTTTTTTTTGTTACCACCTTTTAATTTTTTAAAAATCAAATTGTATATAAAAGGGAAGGAATCCCGAAATATACATATTAATAACTCCATAGCAAACATAAAATTTTCTATGGAGCGCAATTATACAAACTATAGCTATAACATATAAATATGATTTTTATCTTTGTTATACCTAAAATTTAATAATCATGATTTAGTTTCATGTAGTAATTTGCTTAAAAAAAGTTAGTAATCCCATAATTATAGCAACATAAATGTACATAAATATATTAAAATTTTTTTCTCTTCTTATCTTTTTTTTTCCCACCAAGTATCTATCTTCCAATAAAAATTTGAATTTTTTTCTTTGCTTTCATGCTATTGGTTGTTGTCTATTTTTTACCACAATTTTATTTTGACGCAAAGAGGGAGAAAAGAGATGAAATAAATGGTAGTTTTTAAATTGATAAGAACACATTTATTTATCTAACTTAACTATGGTTAGGATACACTTTAGGTAATTAAATCCTAGCCATTAATTTTGACATAAGTCATGTGTTCTTAATTTAAACAAGACCTTGGGAAAATAGGAAAAAATAACAAAAAATATAAAAGAAGAGAAGCTCAATCAAAATGTAACTCCTTAGTCTTAGAAAGAGCTATTTTTAGAAAGAACTAAATTGGAAGAGCCAACTTGAGATTTGTCCAAGTTATGCTTAAGTTGTGAGTTTTGGTCAACTTCAAACAATTATAACGTTTAGTACATGATGAGTTAGGTGGCCCATAAGATATCAAATGAAAGGTCTTTGAATCCTCTTTCCAACGCCACCAAGTTTGCTAAATTCCAAGTTCGGATGATGGAGAAATGCCCTTTTGAACTCAGCCTGTCCAGTTAAGGAAATTTATCCGAATTAATGAGGGGTAATTTGGTCTTTTCCTTACCTCATTAGCTCTAAACGTTTTCAGAAATATTTTAAGGGTCTAAACTGGCTTAGATCAGTTTTCATAATTCAAAATCGCGCTTAGGGTTTTGAGAGGAGTTCAAGAGGAGGAAACAAGAAGGAGTTTAAGG